CAAAACTGTCCATTTTATGAGTAATAAACTGTCCATTTTATGATAACTGTCTATAATAAATTTGCTTATTAATCGACTGAATAGTTTCTTTGTCCAATTATTGCTCAGTTCTCGGTCAATAAATGAGTTCAGATATTGTGCATTTTGTGCACAGTAACATTTTGATTGGGATCCCAACAGTTTTATTCGTCAGTTACTGAGCAAACGTTAATATAATTATTCAGTAACTGCTTACAAACTGCGTGAAATTTCTACTAGGATTATTACAAAAAATATTTTTCAGCAGAGTATATGATGTGCTGAAATCTTTGAATAAAGTTTATATAATATAAGATGTGGTGACACATATTGTTAATATAATACATCGTTTCTATGCTACCTTTATGAAAGTAGTCATCAATATCAATCAGTCATGTATGTAGGTTACAACACGGCTGAAAATCTTTCCTCATCTAAGATTACTTCTTCAAATGCGATAGGTGGATGGTCACGAACTTATATTCGTCAAATGCAATACGAAGACTGTTTCCAAGCTGGGACAAAGGGTCAATAAAAGAATACTTATATATAACAGTAGTATATGACAAATCATATAACATTTTTATGAATATACCTACACAATATTCATATGATGAAGAAGATGCGCGAAAGACGCTTTTCTCAGACATATATCAAACTTCTATTCATTCCATCGGATTTCTGTTTATAAGAGATTTGGTAACAAATATCAGACAATATGACATAAACTATCTGTGGCAAGAATCGAATGATATGGTAGTACTCGAACACGCGCACATAATAGCATTTCATGCTACCTTACATTTTAAATGGGTCATAAACATCAATTTGTCTGAAGTCATAAGTCAAATTGACCATATCGTACTAACAACTTGCCCGATGAAGTCCGCGGGACGACTTGGACTAATTGTTTACAGGTATGCAAGACAAAGCATTGCATATATTATTATATAAGACGTGTATATGCAAGAAAGACGAGAAGGGTAGTGTAATCGCCTTAGTGTTTATTTCACGTAGCGTACGAATCGTCCTTCTCCCTGCGTGATCGAAATTTCTCGAATTCATTATTTGTTTTTGTATATCCTCAAAACGCAATCGTGAAGATAATAATGAGAACATATGATGCTGTCACTAAAAAAATTATCTAAAAATTTATGCTGTAGAAATAGAAAGACTTTGCATATTCCTTTGGTAATTTCTCGTAGAATAATAAAGTCAAATAGAAGGTTAAGACTTACAAAGATTGTGTAGAATATATAGAGATATGTTCAATGTTATATAATAAATTAATTTTTGTTAACAAAAAATTTTTATAAAAGCAGTTTTTTCCAATTTATAGGCAAAAGGATGTTACGTACAAGAAAGAAGATTTTCCTGGTCGACGTATTGATATTGCGAAGCTGGTATCGTACGAAATGTCACGTCAATTGTTCATCGGTATAATGAACTCGCATTTGAACATTGAGGATAAGTGGTTCGATGAGATACTTGCGTCCTTCTACAGTTTTTATATTGTAGGCAAGGTAATTTTATCCAATGAAAACTATTAAAATGCAAGAGAATTTGCTTTAGCTGTTAAAACTCAATATAGATTCTGTAATAATAGTTAAGCACTCGTAAGCACATTATAAATAATCACTTAGTGCTTATTTATTTTGTTATTTCGAACATCTCTCACGATATAATAAAACTATATATTTAGATATGGTTAGCAGAAAAAATAATGGAGCTCTTCTCAGTCCAAAATCTACAGACTGCATTAGATAGTGATATTTATTTAGAGCTCAAACCTACTATACATAAATCTAAGAGCGATTATGGAATTGATGGTTTACTTTATCCTTTGCTGTATCACAAGAAAGGTGAGCGAGATACTTAATAAATGCGATTAGGTTAATTAATTATTCTAAATTATCTAAATTTTATATGCATTACGGTTTGAATTATTGTAGCATTTGTCCTAATTCGTATGTTAGTCTATTTGTTCACTCCGCAAAAGTTTGATGAGATCATTAAGAGATATGTACAATCACGGTGAGTTTATTTATGGTAATATTCTAAATATACACTTTTATTCTCATATATTTTCTTACATTTATATTATACATGTACTTTTATTATTTTTTAATTGAAAATTTTATGTTACTTGAAATTGCGTATTCAGCTTTTATATCATTAGTAAAGTACCTTACGCAAATTTATCTCCTTGTTAATAATTCGGGACATGTTAAGGAAAGAAAACACACATACGATTTTTTATCAAATAATGGCTGATTCATTCGCACAACTATTTTTCATTACGTTATGTTACGTACATAGTTATATTATGTATACATTTACGTTTGAATAAATTAAGCATTCTTTTAACAAAATATTTTGAAGAGAGACATGTGTTAAGATTAAAAACTAATATTTTCATTATTATTGTTTCGGCAGCAACACGAATTTCTGGACAATCGTTGAGGAAGTACATCCTCAAATATATAATGAGAAATATACAATAAAAGAAATAATGGATTCATGGTTAACGGAAATACATCACCCAGAAATGCACTTTATTCGTAACTATAATGAGAAAACAGTGACGTATAATGCAACATTTTCTAGTAATACCTCCAATTTTAAGATACCGTTTACTTATGTTACGACACCGGATATAGACCAGTTACATACTACTGTCTTTTGGTGTGAAAGAAATGAGACAAAATCTATTAGTGACCTTGACTCAAATAATTTTCTTTTAGTCAACTTGGGACAATTCGGTAAGCACAGACTAATATAGGTAACGATCTGTGTAATTTGGTGCTTGGATATTTTCTTTAAAATAATTCGAATTTCGTTACTAACTCTACTAATAGTGGAATTTTAGCAACAGTATATGAGAAATTCTGGGTTATTGACTATGCTTTATGTACAAGTATATGACTTACGAGAAAAATTATGTGTTATACATTGTGACGAAAAGTATCAAAATAGAATATAAATTAACACCTAAAGTATACATTTTTCAATACTGATGGTGAAGTGAGATCAAAGCATGAAATAATAAAGCTAAACGTAAAAGATCTACAATATTCTTTAAAAAAAGAAATATATACATATGTAAAAATATTGTAGAATTATTCACCGCTGCAAGTATCGCATAAAGATTTCAATATTTCCTATTAAGAATTTGCAAACACTGTAAATTTTGCAATTTGATAAAAAGTGCAATAATATTTTTCAAAATCACTTCTTGATGTACAAATTCGAAAATGTCTTACATTATTTAATTACTTTTACAACAGGTTACTATCGAGTTAATTACGACAGCCAGAATTGGTTACTGCTTGCGAAGTATTTACAGTTTGCCAACTCTATACCCATTCTCAATCGAGCACAGATTGTGAACGATGCATTTTACTTTACTATAGCTAGGAAAATGGGACTTCATGTCTTCTTCGATGTTATAAAGTTTCTAAACAAGGAGACTAGCTATATAGTATGGCACCCAATGTTTAACATTTTCTCGTATATGTCGACTTTCTTAAAATCTCCAATAGGCGATTTGGCGAAGGTGAGAAAATACAAATTTAACGAACACCTTTAATTACTTTCTATAATCTCAGTTGTCGCAAAATTGCGATAAATCAAACAAGAATATAGCAAATTCACTTGCAAATTCAAACATGGATGTTTTAAGCTTATCTGTTATGATACTTTCTTAACTATATAACTATTTTCTTTAACTATCTTGGAGTAAAAAGTAGTAGTGGGTAATATATCCAGATAATAGTGAATACTGCCGCTCAAAATCACAAAAGTGAACGTTTCACTCAAGATTAAACAGGATTCTGATCCCTTATCAGCAAATATTTTAATCGATTTGAGTGAATATGTTTCGCTGACAGTGGATTGCTTTGGATTCATTATTTAATTTTGAGTGAAAATATTCTCTTAACAACTTAGAATAAAGAATTCACCCTATAGAAATAAAAAATAACTCAAGTTCGAGTGATTCGTCTATCACTTGGTTTTCGAGCCAAATTTCACTCCAAGATATTAACTCTACAGTCATCGCGTTACTTTTCGAACACGAGTCCACGAATGGGATTTTGAGAGGTCCTAATAAAAAATTATTTTATATCTTTTATGTTGTGAACTTAAATATATTTAAATATATTTTCTTTAATTAGGTTTTTGGGTTCATGTAAAATATAAGAAAAGACTATTTTGGATATAATATTCTCTTAAAGAACTTATACGCCGACTGTAGTGTTAAGAGAGTTCAATGAGTAAAATTCATGTTACGTAACATGTTCCAGGTAAAATTTGTAAATATACTGAATACACTTCTTCATAAAGTGGGGTACGAAGAACGTGAAACCGATCGAGAAATGACGATGCCGTTAAGATTACTAGCAATAAAGTGGGCTTGCGAATTCGGTCACGAAAAATGCAGAAATATCACTGCCAGAAAATTAATCGCGTATATATACAATAGTGAATATAACATGTAAATATTTTTTAAAATTGCTATTTTTATGTTTCTAATAATATTTAATATATTATATATCGATGTTATATATCGATATGTTATATATCGTATCATGATTGATGAATTGTATCGATTATGATCGAAGAATAAAGTAAAGGATTAAGTTTTTGCTTACAAATGCTTATTTCTTTTGATGTATGTCGTAGAATTGCGCAATGGACAAACTTGATATACTGTATCGGAATGATGGACGCAAATATGAATATTTTGGAACATATTTGGCAATTAAGCGTTCAAGAGGAAAATATAAAGATGTTAGAGCCTTTGACCTGTATAGAAGATGAAACTATCTTATTACATTTTTTGCAATTGATGACAAATATTACCTATAAAAACAATGCAACAAAGTTATCAATGGGAAAAATACATCGTTATATTATTAAGAGACATATCGAAAAGCAAATGGTGCTGAATTATTTCTTGAACAATTATTTCGAGATAATAGACAGGTATTTTTCTTTATAAAAAAAAAACTCTTTATCATCATTAGTTTCAGTTATGTCTATTTTGGTCAAATGTAATGTATCATAATTTTATAGATTTCCCAACGATTTTGGTACCCACGATAATTTAACTCTAATAGGTGATATCATTATGAATGTGCATAACCATCTGCCACTCAGTATGGTAAATTTTACAATTATGCTTTTGTTATTTATCTCTATTTAACTTACTATATTTATTTATTTATTAACTTATTTATTTATTTAAATATAACACGTACATATAAAACTGCATTAATTATTAAAAAGTAAGAAATTTTAAAAAGTAAGAAATATTTATTTTATTACTAATTAATATCCACGTAATACGTTTTAGATAAGCATACACGTAACCAAAGACTTGTATGACGATGGACTACGGGACAAGATTGAAAAAATAATCGAAATACGACGAGATCAAATATTAAGACAGCGAAGGAAGTTCAAAATGTTTTACGAATGATGTGTTATAGTGATAATAATCTAATTAACGCATAGTTTTCCTATTATTTTTACGAATTATAATCTATTTGTGGACTTATATTATATATTATATAAAGAATATTTATAGCATAAAGTAATATATAACGTATACGTTACAAGAATCGATAAAGGAAATAGTAGAATATGCGAAAAAACGTGACGGCTTGAAAAAAGACATACAGATTTTTCGCAGAAAATATTATTTTTTATTTCTTACCTCATTACACGTACACTTTTTATATTATTTACTTCATAACATCCGACAATGACGTCTGCTTTCGTGATTTCACACTTTTTTCGTACATGCAGTTCACATTTCAACGAAGGAGCATTTTACAATTACACGTAGGCCCCGCACAATTAAAATCAGTAGCAGCATATAATAGACAGCGACATTTCAAAATTATCCATCACGGTCTTGGTGGTTAACATTGTCGATAGTAGTCATATACTGAATGTTTGACAGCATCCGTACAACGCTCGGTACATATTTTTCTTCATTAATAATTAAAAATTTTACGTGGCTAATTCGAAAAAGGTAAACCGATTCTATTACTTCAAATGTTGTTAAACGCACTGTATATTTTCTCACAAATCTTATATAGATATATAATCTAGATATATAATATTTACATCGTATAAAATAATGTTTAGTGGCGGTGACGCTTTTTTCATAACGATTCGTTTTAAATAGAAATTGTCGCGTAACATTTAGTAGATCACTTACTTAGAAGTATAATAATATTTATTATTTGTACTCTGTGAGAAAACATGAAAATGAGATATTTTGCACAATGTCAAAATATTTTCCTTTTAACGACGCATTGATCCTTTTGATAAACGTCAGAGAAACGTCTCCATCTTTCCATCTACCCTGTTAAGTCTTCGTTCTTTCTCAAATGCTAAACTCAAAATTAAAGAACAATAATATCACGAAAAGAAGACGGCCAAATAAATAGAACCGCTGTGCCTATATTCCCGGCAGTCCAATATGGGGTCGATATATATACCAAATTAAAGATCTCGATGAATTGAAAACAACAAACTATGTCTCATTTTGGTAGGGTGCATGTGGCCCGATAAATCGGGCCCGAAAGGAAGCAAGTTTTAAAGATTTTTGATGCGATAAAAATATGAAAATAATGAGTTATGATGTGAAATAGGGCTCGTTGGAAAGCTTATGACGTCTACTATCATGTGGGAACATAGTAACATTTTTATGCGCAAAAATAACCGGAAGTCCAAGTACTCCAATTGGAACTTTGGTACTTTCGGTGGATTTTGAGCTCAGAAAATATTTCTATTCGATTCTTCGTATTTCTAAACGTAAAATGGAGTAATTAGACACAAAAACAAATCAATGTTATTTATTTATTCAAGTATCAAGTATCAAGTATTTATCAAATTGAATCAAGTTGTCTGGACAGATAATGAAATCAATTTTTGCGGCGATTTCGAGTGACGGAAATGGAGAAGTTCTCAAGTCCCCATGCACCCTACAAAAATGAGACATAGTTTGTCGTCTTCAGCTCATCGAGTTTTTTAATTTGGTATATATATATCGACCCCATATTGAACTGCCGGGAATATAGGCACATCTTGGTCGCCCTCTTTTATATATATTAGAAAGTTTTTTTAGGTGACAATTATGTTCTTTTTGTAGATGCTTGTATCCAAATTGGAGACGACATTTTTAAAACTACTTTTCATTGTTGCCATGATGTTTCCTGCTGCTAATCCTCTCTTCGAAATATAATTGGAATTGTTCGTTTTCTTTCGGGCAAATATTTACCGAACAAGTGGCACTAATAAATAAGTGTCTAATGATAGAGAATACATTTTACATGCGATATTGGATCTGGCCAATAATCATTACGTATATATATTACGTATATTAGTATAACTTCTCCCGTTTAACTGTCGAGCATGCAATTGCTGCTTCCATTCTGAAGACCGTCAAGTCTGTAAGATCTTTGGAACTATTCTTAATTTATGAAAAGTTTTCATTGTGCATATTATTACTATATAATACTATGTTTCTATTTACGTGTTACTAACGCATTTATTTTATTATAATTACAACGATATAATATTAATGTCAATAACACTACAAGATAGACGCAAGGCTCGACTAGCGCTTGAAGGGCTTGATAAAAATTTTTTTCGTTAATAATTCTAAATTTTACGTAATTATTTCAAGAAGGATACCGATTCTATTACTTATCCTGACTTATTATAGCGATATATTAGTTCTGATACACTGTCAAACGTCCTATATATTTTTTCACAATTTCATTTACAGGGTGCGGCGCCAAAATCCGGAAAAATTCAATTTGAAATTCTCGCCGTTCTATACCACTGGTAGATGTTGCGATTAGCGTTCAAATAGCTTGACGCATGTACTAAACCATCATAACCTCGAAACAGTCGCAATGTTGAAACCAAGTGCGGAGTATAACCGAAGAGCCGCGATTATCGAAAGTGTTCGCACTGGGTGCTCGGCGATAGAAATCATTCGGTTCTTCGGGTACCCGAGATCGACTGTATGATGTCATCGCAAAGTATAATGAGTCGGAGAAGTCCAACGAAGGTTTTGCAACATCATTCAGTGAGGGTGATGTCATGCCACCGTATTTCTTTAACAAAGGGGAAAATGTCACAAAAGAAGTTTATTTGCATGTTCTGACAAATGTAGTGAAGCCGTGGATGGAAACTGTGTCGTCTGCAAAGCCGTATGTTTTCCAGCAGGACAGTACGTCCGCCAACATAAGTCATTTGGTGCAAAATTAGTTGTCGGACAACGTCGACATGTTTTGATCGAAAGAATTCTGGCCTCCCAACAGCCCAGATTAGAATCTTTTGGATTTCTATGTATGGAGCGTAGTTGAAAGGGTCACGAACAAATCGAGACATCCAAACGTCGCATCATTGAGAGCCGCTATTGAAGCGGCATTCACCGATATGAACCGTGACAAATTAAAGCGAGCCTGCGCACGCTTCAGACCGAGAATGGAGGCGGTCATTCAAGCAAGCGGGTGATATATTGAGTAAATGTGTTCTTTATGGCCTTACAAACAATGTGGTTAAAAAAATTTTGTAAACCTTTTCGTTTTTGCAATAAAAAATATGATTGGAAAAAATGTATAATTTTTCCGGATTTTGGCGCCGCACCCTGTAGATGTATAATATTTACGTCGTATAAAATAATGTTTAGTGGCGGTAACGCTATTTTTCATAATGATTCGTTTTAAATAGAAATTTGGCATGTTACACTTTGGTATAGATCATTGGCTTGTAAGTGTCTAACAATAGAGGAAAATTTTTACATACGATATTGGATTTATTTCGCCAATCTTCACTACGTATATATATATATATATATATATATATATATTTGTGTGTGTGTGTGTATGTGTGTGTACGTATATATATATGTATGTATATATAACAACATCAATAACTGTTATTGTCGTTAGTATGTGGTGATTCGTCATGAGCGCGTGAAGGTGAGACACGAGAATTTCAAATAATGCTTTCTTTGGAAATAGAAGTAATCGAATACACCAAAACAAGAAACAGGTCCTCCTCGGATTTTATTTTACAGTAGATATTCTGAATAAAATACGCATACTTCCGGAAATATGCATAAGGAACAGACATGAAGATGTAGATTCTATATATAGTATAAATAAATATTCGTGCAATTATTAATTAGCCCGCAATTAACTAAAGCAATATATATATATATATATTCTTTTATTTTAATTCAAATATAGAGTTTTATATTTTACTTCAATGTGTTATTCCAATATATATTCGCTCAAAATAACATACTGTGGAAAGAGTTCCGTTTCCATTCAGTATACATTATGAAGCAAGTTTCTTTCATATTTCCTGTGTGTCATAACGAACTAAATTTTCTTTACAACAATTTTTAGTACATCTAACAACTTTCAACAGAAAAGGAGTCGTAATTTTGCTTTTCCTTGAGTCAGGAAATATTAAATATTTGTTTTATCTATGAAAACAAGATAGTTTATACATCATCAAGATGTGCTCTTTGATCCTTTTGATTAACGTCAGATAAACATACTTCCATCTTTCCATCAATTCTCTTAAGCTTTATTGCTTTCTCACATGATGAAATCAATATCAAAACTAAGAAATAATATCGTCACGAATATTCTAAATGCATTAAAAAGTTTCTGAGTTAATAATTATGTATTTTGTGTAGCTACTTGCACCCAAAATGGAGACGACATCTTTAAAACTACTTTTCATTATTGCCATGGTATTTCCTACTGCTAATCCCATCACGTTGGAAGATTATGCAAATTGCTCGCTTCCTTTCAAGCAAGTATCTACCAATCATGTGGTACCAATAAGAATTGATGTTACAATTCAAGTAAAACCGAGAAGCATCTTGTCAGGCAAAACCGATATTACTATAGATGTAAAAAAACCTACGACGAATATAACTCTGCATGGACATGATTTGAAAATAGACATGGCGTGCACAATGATTATAAGACCTGGTGCAAAGCCGAAGTGTCGTGAGGAGGATGCTATATATAAACTGTGGGAAGTAGTGTATTGTTCCGAAAAAGAAGCGATAAACCTGATATTTATTGATTATATATCCCCTGGCCAGTATATCTTACATATAGAACATTTCTCTCTTTTGGATAAAAATGAAAACGTGATGATTTATTTATACTCTTGGAAAAATGAAGCTAGGTAAGCAGTTAAATATTATGAAAGCAGTGCACAATTGTAAACAACAATGTCTGCTATTGACGAAAGTCTATTCACAACATTTCAACCACTAATCTGGAGAAAAATATTTCTTTTATATTATATATTATATTATTATATATTATTTTATATTATTATATTATATTTTATATTATTATTATATATTATATATTATTTTATTTATTATATAAACGCAAGGACTTGTTGAAAAATTTCCAATTTCTCTAATTTTTATATTTAATAACAAATTTTCATGTGTGCAGATTCTAATATGTTTTTTAAATGCCGCCGCGCGTATTTGAAGCATTCGTAGCCGTGATTTGTACGTTGCTTAGTTTTCTCAAATAAATCTTTTCTGCGCATACCTCATAGAGAAAAATAAGGGAAGAAACTTGCGAAATCCGGAAATGTTTAGATTGTTTTGAAATATTTCATAAGTGTAGAATGCAAAACGTTCCGCAAAATTACA